AGGTGAGCATCATAGAATGCCAATTTACTAGAAGAAAGTATTCTTGTGTTGAGGGAGTACTTGAGTGGAGGCCCAATGTCCTTCTGCTACCTTGATACTAAACCTATAAATGTAGGCGTGTGTTATTTTCTTACTGTAGAAAACAGTGATTTTTAACCAAAAAAATGTTATTTGTGTTAGACCAAGTGGGTCAGGTTGTGTTCGTATTTATAAATTAATTCGCCAATGAATATTTCAAAATAAATGTTCCCATTTTCACTATCCTGTGCTAACGGTGGTAGGTAGAGCCCCATTCAGTACAGCCCTGCTGAGAGCGGCTGACCACAGATACCTGCACGTGGATCCCACCCAGGCCCGAGGGCGGGGCTGTGCTCCTCCGACCTTTTGTGGAGCAGCATTCACTCGTCATAGCGTCTGAAATGGATTCAGTCTAAATGGCTGTGTGTGGCTTTTTGTGCCATTCATTGCACAATATAATTAACGTTGGGCTGCAACCCAAGGCTTAGTTCCAGGTCCCTGTTGGAAGGTGTCCACATGTGGGCACATACCTGGTGTCTAATAGGACCCGACCTTGCTAGCTATGGGTTCCCGTCCTTCCCAGGAGTCCAAGCAGGCTTGTTCCTGACTATGTGGCAAAAGGTTCCTCTCTCAAAAGTTCTCCATCCGGTGGAGAAGGACGGGCAGTTCCAAATGCCGTTTGTTGTTGGTTGAATCTAGCTTAAAGGCCAGTTTCCCCCTTCATTGGCTCATGCCCTCAGCTACAATGGTGGGCTACTTGACAGGGTCCTGGGGAAGGGTCTGCATACCGGGAATGGCTGTGCTGGCCCAAAGCCACCACGGACACAGTCAACCAATACGACAGTTCACCAAATAGCTGATCAGTTGCTCAAGGGATTAGTCCCAAGTGACCTAAAAAGACCAAACCCATGATTGTCAAGTCGACTCTGACCCATGGCCTCAGGGGATTCCTGGTTCCGATCTTCACCAGGCCTTTCCCCGTGGCACCTGTGGGTGGGAGGGAGCCAGGAACCTTTCTGTGAAAAGCCCAGAGCAAACAGTCGTCCCACCCAGGGGCGCTCTCCAGTAAGTGATCT